CTAATTACAATCTATAGACTACATTATATTTATTTATTTTAAACGTTTACTTTTTCATTCTTCTACTGCAAACACTAACCAGTATATATATGCGCGCGTGTGTGTATAAATCCATAAATTTTTTCATTATTATATATAATTTAATATACATAAACTAATAAATAAACACATGGATTTGTGTATTAGAAATTAATGGCTCAAATAATAATTTTGCATAATAGAAATATATATAGAGCATAAAAATTATGTTCGTTTAAGCGATTAAAATGCAGACTATTAATTTCGTGACTTTAGTAAATCTTTATAAAATAATCAAGTATAAATTTTTAAGAACGCTCATTCGTGCATATAACTTTACTTTTATATTTTTTTTATAAAATAAATCATATGGATAATTTAAAAAAAAATAGTACTCCGATACAATAAAACTATTATCTATGTGTTAAATTGCGCTAATTGTATTGAAAAAAATGAATTATGATAAATTTTGCCATTCATTACTCATTTTTTAGTAAAAAAAAAAAACAAAAACAAAAAAAAATAAAGAAAATGAAAACAAGAAAATATCATAAATAATAAATAATAAATTATATATTTATTATAACGTTGGCCGTTATTTGTATCGTAACATAAAAGTGCATCAAAGTACATTTTACTAATTAATCGAAACTATTGTTTTAATTAAATTAAGTTAATTTTTATATTAATAATCTAATTAAATCATTGTGAAGCAGCACACATCTACGTATAACTGATGGAAATAAAATATTTTTCATCTATCATTTTAAGCATTAATATTTTAAATCTTACAATTCAGTACTCTAATTAGAGAGTACTAGACAATATTTTAATTTTTTTAACTTATTTTTCAACTTAATTTTATTTTATATTCTATTAGAGGCACAGTCGCGTATCTGTTTGTACGCGTGTAATTGAATTCTCCAAGAATCGTTTACAGCCTTATACAATTATTGCAAATTAAGCACAATTCTATTTGACATAATGGCATTTATCCATGTTAAATTAAATTCATCCAAACATTGCCACCCAAGTAAAGAAACACGACCGCAATTACTATTTTTCTTAACAACCGCATCCACAATTTCAGTAATTAAAATATAATTTCAACGCGAGCAGCAACGTTTGTTCAAGTGATTTTTAGGCGCTTACGTTCCGTCTGACACGTACGATAATGCATAAAAGCGCCAGAAATGCAGGGCGCCGAAGACGTGCCGCATTCAATGAAAACAATACCACCGGAAGGCGTATGTATACTGATTTACGTGGCACAAGTGTATGGAATTTTTGTTCTATAAGTCGGTTGGTTCACTTTCAAATTGATGAAAAGAGTCAATGATCGGGAACTGAGCTCCTTAATATGGATAGAAGAAAGCGTGGGTGTCCTGAAATTGGCTGTTACATTAATTATTATTTTGTTTTCTTTTGTCCTCTCTGCTAAACCAACGATGTCTGTACGTTTTTTTTTTTTTTTTTTCCTATATATTTAATAAATAAAGTATATCAAGTCCGAGTTATCGAGAAATCTTTGACAATATTCTAATTAATAGTGCTGCTCAATAGCTTTTTCCAAAAGTTCTACGTGCTACGCAGTAATAATAGAAAAATTCGAAATTAAAAATAAATATCTCAACATGTGAAATGTAATCTCGTCGTTTTCCAATGCTTTTGCGAATTTATTAGTTTTTGCAATAGAGAATATAAATGGAAGATGTACTATCGATGCAAGCAAATGTAATCGATTGTGCTCTTCTGTAAATAATGTCACTAATTATAGCACAAGCTAATTGTTTTTTAAAAAAAAATTCCATATTTATACATATTACTAGTATGTATGTATGTATTATCAAATTTTGTTATTAACTCGGGTTTAAAATTAAATTTGTATTTGTACTCACGGTTAGAACAATAATTATTATATTTTTCGATTTCATGATAAAGCGACATCCAACGCCTTTCTCCGTTTGATGGTTAAATACATTTGTACATATTAGCCTGGGTAAATCGGCGTTTTACGAAAAATATTTTTCAACAATTGACTTTTTATTTGAGAGCCAAGCTTTTCTAAGATCAATATTATTTTAACATATTTTTTTTACATGTTATATCTCTCATAATCAAACTCATCAGGTGCTTTACAAATAGTGAAAAATTTTTTATAGCGCGCGTATGAGCATTTATGAATTTCTTAATTTATGAACGGAAAAATGATTTTTTTTTTTATTAATAAACAAACCCACGAGTGTTTTAATTATTAAATTGTGTAATATAATGACATTATGATAAATATTACAATGAACATCTGATAAACTCGATGAAGTAAGCTTCATAATTCATTTCATAGATAATAAAATAAAAAAAATTTTTTGTTGTTGTATATTCACTATATTAATATGCCTAAAGAGATGAATAAAGTCACATTATAATGGAAAAAATTTGCTGCCATACGACAACATTCGCTCTTTACGCAATAAAGAAAATGCATTTCTGGGGATTATCAATGCGTTAAATAGCCAACTGTATTAAGCAATACGCGAATTATTATAAATTACCGCGAATTACTCGAGTCGCCTAGTGATTTCTTAAAAAATATGCCGCATCCTTTGTAAGGATCAGTCGCCTGTTCATTACTCGTGTAGTAACACGCGTATCCCGACTTTTCGAGTCCCTTCGATGTCAAATCAAAACGACGAGAGAGAGAGAGAGAGAGAGAGAGAGAGAGAGAGAGAGAGAGAGAAACGGAAATCCGTGCTGGCGGAAAGCCGTCCTTTTTGGATACGGCGGCGCACATCCTGTCGTACTCGCGCTCGCTGCATTACGTAAACGCGGAATTACTCGCTAATTACGTAAAGTTAATTCGCGAGTTGAACTACGACGATGTGACGTTTTAAAATCGCGCCATAAATTTTGTGGTCCCAGTGTTGCGTCGCTCGATATTTGCTCTAATTAGTAAGGACCACTCACATGCGTCTCCATTTTGACGTTTAAATTTTCATTATTTGATTTGTATTAGACTTTGGTTTTCTTGTAATTCGCTTCTTTTATAATTCGTGATCAAGGACTTGGGGTACTTCGAGGATTTTGTTGGTTTTTCCGATGACACGATTAACCAAACGAGGGTTTGGTTTTTCTCGATGGGGCATGCAAATCCTCTTTCATTCTTTATGTCCGACGAAAGAAATAACCTTAGACCATTAGTCGTACAATTTATAATAAAAAATAACATAGGACTTTGTAAATTGATTTCACTTTCAATCCCTATTTCTTATCTAGCAGCAAAAGTATATGCTTATTTGAGAATTGTGTATTCGCTCATTTGCTTAACCAAATTTGTTTGTCGTCTGATTAATATGTGACGTACAATGCAAGTGTACATGCGAGAATGAATTGCGTAATTACATTTGTCGCGTAAAAAAGAGAAAGAACAAATGAATTGAAGCTTTATTGTTCTTTTTCGAAATATGTCTACCTGTATCCGTATCCCCTATAAACAAATAGTGAAGCAGGTGAAGAGGGATAAGGCCTGTATAAAATTATATATACGAAGAAGCGAATGGTGGCAGTGAAATAGATTGAATAAACTTACAATTATACGAATAATTTTCTATTTTATTTAAAGTATAAAATAATTCTGTAGAATATAAAATAAGATTAAAATATATCAATGTAAAAACTAAGAAATGGATACGGTGATAATGATAATGATACCATTTAAAAGAAATGCAGTTTAAACTTAAAAATCAATTATTTGTAATTAGTCTATTTATTCGTGACATTACTTATTCGAATAAAGTCAAAGGAACGTTATTACTATTGAATATTTCGTAACGAACTCTTATTAAAATTATCTTTAAAATATATCTTTGCTAATTAATAGCGTTAGTAACAATTTCATACTAACGTTTTCAAATGCATAGGAAAAAAAAATTTAAACATTAGTGATTAATTTTCTTTTTTATTTTATTCTCTTTTTCATCCAATGGGAAATTAAAAAATTAAAATAAAAGACATTTATACTCGAAATGAAGTTTAATTTGACCGAAACTTTCGTTTATACACTCGCATAAATTAAAAATTTCTAAACATAATGAAAAAAATTTTAAGTTTTTATTTTTCTATTAGTATGTCAATGATTATTTATAATTTTCGTACGTTAAGTTAAGGATAAAGTTTAAACACCCGAGGAATATTATAATGAGACTTTCCAAAAAACAAAATAACAAAAAAAAAATGAAATAATTAATTGAAATATTATTATTCATTGAGATAAATTATTTATATATATATATATATATATATATATATGATACGCATATGACACGATTAGATCCTATAAATTAATATAAGACTGATCGGCTTATCGATGGCATATTAGGATTAATTAATTAATTAACTATCTTAAATATTAATTAACTAACTTTTTACAGTTTCGTGCAAGTAGGCTATTTTTGTTAAAATAATTATTAGCTTGACTTTAAAGTTTTGATTTTCAATAAAATTGTCCTCCGTTGACTTTGATTTTTATATTTTCTCTCCTCTCCCCAAGCGCGGAAACAACGAACTTACGAGGAAGCTTTCAACGTGGTTCAACGAACGATTACATCCATCAAAAACCATGAAAGAAATGCGTCGAGATCACCAATAGCGCTAATTCCGTGACACCGGCTCCCCAGAAGGTCAATCATCCTGCCAACCAATAACCAAGTGACTCGAGCGACAAGCAAGTATCCCAGTCCACGGACAATTGGCCGAACAATCGTCATGTGCTTTCGACACATTATCCAGCCGGACAATTAAGTGAAGCAGGAGCGAGCGCACATACGATTTTTGAAAATTCCATGCGAAGAAATCGCGACGAATGTCCCAGCAATATTCCCGGTAGCGCGCGGCAACATCGGGCCCCGGAAGTGCCCAAGAAAAGTCAAGGAAGGCGCGGAAAAAGTAGGGAAAATCGTCGGTGCTTCGGTGCCGGTCTCACTCACCGTGGCTGAGGGCGCCGAGGATGGCGAACGCCACGAGGGTCGCCGTCGTCGTCGTCGTCGTCGTCGTCGTAGTCGGGCCGTGCGTCATGCTGTGCTCAGGCGTCGCGCTCCGTCTCGGGGCCCATGCCCAGCAGCGTTCAAACGATGCACTACCGGAGTCTCACCCAGGCTGGGATCGGGGGTGGGGGGCGGAGAGGGGTTTTTTTATTCTTTTACGGGGGATGGGGAGTGGGAGTCTAGGGCGGTGGGAGGGAGGGAGGAGGAGGGTGGGAGGAGGAAGGGGCTCGTGGTCGCGCGGGCGCCCCGCGCGCTGTCGTCGTTCGATGAGGCGCTTCGTGCGCCGTCGGAGTGTGGACTGTCGGCCTCGGCCTCGGCCGAACGCGCATATACGCCACCTCGAGCCGCGAAAACGTCCCCCACGTGCGGCCGAGGCTCGCACGCGCGCGCGCCCGACTGCAAGAGACCGACGGACTCTCCCTCTGCGGCCGAGGCTCGCACGCGCGCGCGCCCGACTGCAAGAGACCGACGGACTCTCCCTCCCTCCCACATTCTCTCTCTCTCTCTCTCTCTCTCTCTCTCTCTGTCTCAATGCGCGCGTGTGCGTATGCGTGTGCGCCTCTCTTAGTGCGAGACACTCGCTACCCGGTAGCGATGGAGGGAGGGCCCGATGACTCACGAGGGCTACGCGACATGGAGGCTGTACTGCGCTGCAGCGTACCGCTGAGTCTACCTGAAAGAGAGAGAGAGAGATCAGTCGCTGTGAGAGAGAGAGAGAGAGAGAGAGAGAGAGAGAGAGAGAGAGAGAGAGAGAGAGAGAGAGAGATAGTAGTCTCGGATGGGCACGGTGGATGGACTTTCGCACTACTTCGATTCCAATTGCGTCCATTGACTTTTGCCATCCATATCACCGATGATCTTTCTTCGACAAACAATGCAATCGCTTTCATTAAATTATTGTCAAAATAAAATTTTCAATTACAATAAATATGAAGGGACAAGATTTATTTGCTTTCTAATATGTTATAGTACTTACTGTGCTCAATAAACACATAATTAATAATTTTCTTACATTTCAATACTAGCACCTTTAGATTCGTACAAAGAAATATAAATATCTCTTTCATCATGGTAGCTCCATTGTTATCAATTTTCTTAAATCGATAACGTGCATACGTGTGTAATACGAATGGAAATAGAATTTTTTAAGCACAGTATAATATTTTTGATTAATAACGATTCGACGGCCTAAATTTTTTCATAATAATATTACAAAGTACTATAAAAAATCTTCTCTTTCTCTCTGCAATACATATGTGCATAAGAAAAACATAAACAAATGTAAAAAAAATTACATTAATACAGATAGTAAAATAATTAAAATAATAAGTAATATAAACGAAATCATATATGATAAGTGAAAATGTTAACACTGCAATTCATTGTTCTTAACTTATGGAAGAACCAATGTGAAATTTGGGTTACAATAATCAATGAATATAATACCTTTTATCATTGCATTTAAAATGATAATTTATGTATTAAATCGTTCAATAAAGATAAACTTCTACTCTACTTATAAAAGGTATAACACTTCAGCAGAATAATATAGTTTTACTTTGATTTTTCTTGTCGCTAGTATGCAGTCTACTACGTAATAATAAAATTATTTGTAGTTCTATCCATAAGAATTAATTATTATTTAGCCTGTGCTTGAGTATATCACAATGACTAAACTATTTACAATGTAAAAATAGTATATTATAAATTTGAATGCAAGCAGTATTAAATCAATAAATAATCAATAACATTAACTACCTCCATCCGTATCATTGCTTAAAATACACCAAACACACAAATTATTCATTTTACCTAGAATTTCCGCGTATCGTTAATAAAAAAAAAAGAAAAATAAAAAAAAAAATAAAAAAAAAAGACAAATGAAATAAAAACGTAGAAAATAGTTAATTGACGAAAATTATTTTTGATTAAACTTAGGCTATTCTTAGAAAACATTTATTTTCAATGATACTACACTATATAAATTAACTATTTTCATTTAAACAATAATTTACCACCAATTTACATCAAAAAAATTTATTTCGTATTTTTTCAACAACATTTATTAGCTTTCAAGTATTATTCCCTATTTAATTTATTAAACTATTAAAACTGCCAAAATTTTCATAATTTCAAATTGATAAAATGTGCGTAAAATTCAAATGGCAGTAAATGGTATTTATTAATTTATTATTATTAATTATTAATTTCATATTGATTAATCAAAGTCTCATATCTAATGTCTCGTTTATATTAGTCTTCTCACTCGTAATGCTCTTGTAGTGCATTAAACATTTCCGTATTTTTTCCGTCAATAATTATCTTAATCCGTATCATTTCGGCAATGCTAAATCGATTATACTTAATTAGAATAGAATAGTGGTGAGAAAAAAAAAGCTTTCACTATCGTGACATTAAATCTTATTATTTAATATGCGGTAGACCGATCTTCTTTCTTTTTTTTTTTCTGCATATTAACATGTGTGCAGCAAGGGTCTTGGCGGTATTAAGGTCGTGTTAATAAATCGGAAAATGACGGGACACAGAAATCGCATTTTACCACACGACACTCTGGAATTCCCAAATTAACCGTCGAATTCTTCACGAAACTCGTTTGAAGATAATCTTTAAAATCTTGTCTTTTCGTGTCTCAAAATGATTGCAACACCAGTGGTCTGTGAAATCTCGTCAATTCTCGAATAAACAATGAATCACTGATCAAAGAGACGAATGTCCGCTCGCGTAAAAGATATGCAAACAATTTTTGTTTGTTTTTTTTTCCTTTTTTTTTTTTTTTTTTTTTTTTTTTTTTTCCATTGAATTGAAAGAAAAAATACAATCGACATTTTAATGCGGTTACCGGAGGTAATGGTAAGTAATAAAAATTCATCGCTGATCAATATTAATATGATTTTGGAACGAATTACACTCTACAAACAAATGACACAGAGTTTAAATATCGATCTATGTTATTTCAAATAAAATTATGTCTTTACAAAGTGGTGAAAACGCGTGTCCACTCTTTCAGTCGAAATATTCTCTTCTCGAACATTTCGATAAAAATTGCGCAATCGGAGGAAAAGTCGAGAGGATATGTAATATCATGATTTTCATTACGTATGTTTGCGAGTCAATCGTACATGAAAAAAAAAAAAAAAAAAAAAAAAAAAAAAAAAAAAAAAAAAACGTCATTAAAAAGCTTGTAACAAACATATTGGTAGCATCATTTTCAACGTATCCGACGAACATATAAAATCGATCGATCATACCTCCGTATGGCGGAATAACCTGTTGGTTATTAATAAATTACATCTCTCGATAAATTTTGACCACATTTGAACCTACAATAACACGGGCAATAACGACAATAAAATAATTACAACGATGTTCATCTACTATTTTAACCGAAAATATCTTATCGCGTAAGATGTCGTAAGGTGCTTTTCCACGTTTTTCACTTTGCTGCTCTACCAAGACCTGAAAAATCCGTGCTGTAAGTGAAAGCCCCACTCTCAGCTTCTGGAATGCCACACTCGAAAAACGTCATGGAATACCCTCCCTTATCTGACATATCGACTCCCGTGTCAAGGACGCACGCAAACGACTAATCAGGACATACGCACAATTAGCGACACCACGATATCCCTTATAACAACAATCGATACCATCACGTACACCAAGGATAGCCGCATTCTCAATCCACCCTGGAGCCTTATAGTAACGAGGGGGATAGACTCGGCATTTGCCAAGCCGTTGTCGACGGACGCGGAAGATGTTTGATCGATGATCGGGTATCCTGGCCGAGCAATTATAAATTGGAAAACGGAAATGGAAAAACCGCGATTTGGCAATCCTAAGCATATTGTTTCTCCTTTATTTTTACATAATATAGCCGACGATACTCGGTATTTTAATAATAATTATCGTTGTCGTCGGCAAAATTTAAAATCCACATTGTATATGATCCGCTTGCATTATGCAGCTTATAAATGCTTGATTCTATGTCGATTACAAAATATATTAATCACCATAAAATATAATATCTTATTATAAATTGATATTCAAGAGATTCTATTTTTTTTTTCTCCATTCTTAGAATGATATGCTGATGATTTATAACTGAAGGATGTTAAGTTATTCGCTGCAATGACTTCCTGAACTAACGGCTAATGACGGTACCATTAATATGAATACATTATAGTTATATCTACCTACTTATAAACATTTTTTGTTTTTATTTTCATTAATTAATATTAAATTCTAGATCCAATGGTTGTTTTAAACGAAATTGTTGATATTTTGATATTTGGTTCTGCCGAGGTAATGGTTTTTATCTGAAAATACTAAAAGGCAACAAAGAAATAAACACACACAATGTCATTAATTTTACAAAGAAATTTGTTGTACAACAATGCTTTTGTAAAAAGTAAAAGTTTATTTGAAATGAAAGAAAGCCTTATTGTATGTAATTTAGAAAGTAAGTAATATCTAATTATAACATTACGTACAAAATATATAACATCCCAATAGACTTACACAAAACTCCTTTTATATTATATATAGACGTCACTTGTCACAATTTAAAAATAAATAAATAAATAAATAAAAAATATTAGCAAATACCCTTTACTATGTTATGTAGTATCGCTTAAAACATTATGAATACATAAAGAATTATCCTTGAGTATGAATATGTAACCGTTATACACAACTGAACATATCCTTGGATATATAAAATAGTTCTTTATTCTTCACTTTCGCGATTGTAAATTTTTTTTCTTTTTTCTTTTTCCTTTTGTTTTAATAATAATTATAATGTAATTATTTAGAAATTTAATTCGTGATCATTTATATGTTTACTTAATTTATATTCATAATATTGTTCCTAAATTATAATCTAATGTGTGCTAAAAGTAATGATGAGTCGTAATGAATAATTGAATTAGTATTCTTTAACGCGTACTAAATGTTGCTTAGCAAAAATTAATATTTTAACTATCGATGAGCCATAATTACAATTGCAAAAAATTCTACAGACAAATTAAATGATGTCTAAGGCTCACATAATTGATTTAAATTTATAACGCTGAATTTCATCAATTTACATATCGATATTGTAATTACGTTTATCGTAAGTCAAAAATTTTCATTCTAAATACTTCACAATGTAACACTTAATTATTATAATGTATTGAGTGCTAATACGTAATGGAATTAAGTGAATTTTGAATATTAAGTGAAAATATTGTATTAAATGCCATAAATTTATAAGCTTATGACATTATAATGAAAGTTGAGAATAAACGAAAGAAATATCGCGAAAGAAATAT